AGTTCCTTTTTTTCTTGCTATCATTTTTTGCCTCTTTCAGTTATTCATGTGTTGTATACGCATGTGTTTTGTTTTCAAGGAATCTTTTTGCTGAAAAGTAATCTCAGACAGTCACTTCTGTCTTGCTGTTAGTTATGAAATATGGCTGGGTGGGCAGATAGTGCTGGCTCCGTGTTGTCAGTGGGTCACTTACTGCTGGTTCTCCTGTGCCGGGCTTCCCCTTGTTTGCATATGTCTGCCGTCGGAGGGACTGGTCGCTGGGGTCCCAGGTTTTGTAGTTGGAGTTGTAAGATAATGGGTGTGTTTGCATCTTTGAGACTTTGGATTTCTGCCCATTCTGCCTGGTCATGCTATTGTCAGGCATATATGTTCTGTCTTCCTCTCTGCGCACTGGGTGCAGTGGCAGACTCCCCTTGGCAGCCAGGTCTGCAAGGTGTCGACGTTTAGAATAGAAGTCATCATTGACCTTGTCAGCTGTTTGATTTCAAAAGGGGGGGAAAAAAGAAAAAGTGAGTTGAGCACTAGAAAATGTTAAATACCAATGCAGAGTGTATATAGTCCATCATGTATGAATGCATCTAGAAAAACACATCTTTCTATATGGGATTAAAAATATCTTTAAAAAGATTTTGATAGGAAGATTAAAGTATTTTTTCCCCTTAGATCTTTATGGATATCAACAGCCTAAGTAATCATGGCTTCAATATAATACTTCAACAAGGTAAACTAGCCATACAAATGTTCCCCTACACCATACATTTTTGAAAACCAAAAGACCCCAATTTTTAAATCTCATTAAGGGCCTGTGCCAAAGCTCATAGAATTCAATGTGAGTCTTTCCATTGACTTCAGTGGGCTCTGGATCAAGCTCTAAAAATACTTGGCTCTGCAATCACCAACCACTCTGCATTCTCACTGTGTATCACAGAACAACAGGATTGGAAGAGTCCAAGGGCGGAATTTCGGGGGGGGGGGAGGGTGTGTAGGGGGTGCAGAAGCTGTGCGTGCCGGGACATGGCTTGCTTTTCATTCAGTTCGCAGGATGCTAAGGCAGGGAAAGGAAAGTCCTTGCATTCCGTGCATGCCTCTCACATCTGGCTGGTGAAGGGAGCTTACCAGCCAGGTGTGAGAAGAATGCATGGAATGCAAGGGCTTTCCCCTCACTCCCTTAGCATCTGGGGAAGTGGATGAAGAGCAAGCCATGTCCCAGAGCGCATAGCTGCTGCACCCCCTACCCTCCCGATATTCCACCCTTGGAAGGGACTTTGAAAGATCATTTTATCCAGTCCCCTGTATTCATGGCAAAACTAAGTATTATCTAGACCAGGGGTTCTCAAACTTTGTGATACCACAGCCCCCCTCTAAGTTGCTCTCGACCTCCTGGGAGGTCAGGACTCACAGGGTTTGAGAAACATGACAGGTGTTTGTCTAACCTGCTCTTAAAAATCTCCAATGGAGATTCCACAACCCCCTTAGACAATTTATTCCAGTGCTTAACCACTCTAACAGATAGGGAGCTTTTCCTAAAATCCAACCTAAACTTCCTTTGTTGCAATTTAAGCCCATTGCTTCTTTTCCTAGCCTCAGAAGTTAAGAAGAACAATTTTTCTCCCTCCTCCTTATAATGACCTTTTATGTTCTTGATAATGGGTTTCACATTCTCTCAGTCTTCTCTTGTCCAGACTAAACAAATCCAATGTTTTCAATCTTGCCACATAAGCCATGTTTTCTAGACCTTTAATCATTTTTATTTCTCTTTTTTGGACTTTCTCCACTTTTTCCAATCTCTCCTGAAATGTGGATCTCAGAATTGGACACTATACTCATGTTGAGGCCTAATCAGAGCAGAGTAGAATAGAAGAACTACTTCTCATGTTTTTTGTACAATACTCCTTCTAATACAGACAGTGTTACACTATTTAGCTGGTGATCCACTATGCTTTCCGTGGTACTCCTTCCTACACAGTTACTTCCCATTTTGTGTGTGTGAAACTGACTGTTCCATCCTAAGTGGAGTACTTTGCATTTGTCCTTATTGAATTTCATCCTATTAACCTCAGACTATTTCTCCAGTTTGTCCAGATCATTTGAAATTTTAGTTCAACTCCAAAGCACTCGCAACCCCTCCCAGCTTGGCATTGTCCACAAACTTCAGAAATGTAGCTTCTCTATCATTATCTAAGTTAGGGTATGTCTACACTACCACCCTAGTTTGAACTAGGGTGGTAATGTAGGCAACCGGAGTTGCAAATGAAGCCTGGGATTTGAATTTCCCGGCTTCATTTGCATAAAGCCGGGCGCCGCCATTTTTAAATGTCCGCTAGTGCGGACTCCGTACCGCGCGGCTACACGCGGCACGGACTAGGTAGTTCGGACTAGGCTTCCTATTCCGAACTACCGTTACTCCTCGTAAAATGGCGGCGCCCGGCAAGATGCAAATGAAGCCCAGGAAATTCAAATCCCAGGCTTCATTTGCAACTCCGGTTGCCTACATTACCACCCTAGTTCGAACTAGGGTGGTAGTATAGACATACCCCCATTGATGAAGATATTGAATAGAACCAGACCCAGAACTGATCCCTGCAGAATCCATTTGTTATGCCCTTCCAGCATGACTGTGATCCACTGATATTATTTATCCAACCAGATATGCATCCACCTTTTAGTAGCTTCATTTATGTTATATTTCCCTAGGTGTTTGACCTTACATCATGTGAGATTGTATCAAAAGCTTTACTAAAGTCAAGATATACCAAATCTACTTCCTCCTTCTCCACAAAGCCTGCTACCCTGTAAAAGAAAGCTATGAGGTTGGATTTGTTCTTGATAAATCCATACTGATTGTTACTAATCATCTTATTATCCTCTAGATGTTTGCAAACTGATTGCTTAATTATTTGCTCCATTATTTTTCCTGGTACAGAAGTTAAGCTGACTAGTCTAATTTCCTAGGTTGTCCCTATTTTCCTGATTAGAGACTGGCACTATATTTGTCCTTTTCCAGTCTTCTGGAATTTTCTGTATTTAATGATTTTTTTAAAGATAATTGCTAATGGCTCAGTTATCTTTTAAGTCAGCTCCTTGAGTATTTTAGGAAGCATTTCATAAGGCCCTGCTGACTTGAAGACATATAATTTGTCTAAGTAATATTTAACTTGTTGTTTCCCTATTTTAGCCTCCGATACGACATCATTTTCACTGGCAGTTACTAAGCTAGGCGTCCAATCACCAACAACCTTCTTGGTGAAAACCAAAACAAAGAAGTCATTAAGCACCTCTTCCATTTCCACATTTTCTGTTATTATTTCCTTGAGTAAGTAATGGGCCTACCCTGTTCCTTGGTCTTCCTCTTGCTTTTAATGTATTTGTAGAATAGTTTTTGTTGTTCTTTATGCCTTTAGCTAGTTTGAACTCATTTTGTGCTTGGCCTATCTAATTTTGTCCTCACATCCTTGTGGGTATGTCTACACTACCACCCTAGTTACTTACGAGGAGTAACGGTAGTCCGCACTAGTGGACTTTTAAAAATGACGGCGCCCAGCTTTATGCAAATGAAGCCCGGGAAATTCAAATCCCGGGCTTCATTTGCAACTCTGGTTGCCTACATTACCACCCTAGTTCGAACTAGGGTGGTAGTGTAGACATACCCTGTGTTACTTGTTATATTCATCCTTTGTAATTTGACCTAGATTTTTTTATAGATCATTGAAGATATCCTGGTTAAGCCAGTATGGTCTCTTCCCATACTCTTTTCTTTCATACACAGTGGAATAGTTTATGCTTGTACCTGTAATAATGTCTCTAAAAAACCTGCCAAATCTCTTGAATTGTTTTTCTCCTTAAACTTATTTCCCATGAGCTCTTGCCTACCAACGCCCTAAGTTTGCTAATGTCTGCTTTCTTGAAATCCATAGTCTCTATCCTACTATTACTTAGAATCATGAACTATCATTTTAGGATCAATGAGTAGTCCTATAGCACCTGAGGGTATGTCTACACTACAGTGCTAATTCGAACTAACTTAGTTCGAATTAGTTAATTCGAACTAAGCTAATTTGAACTAATGCATCTAGAACTAAAAACTAGTTCGAATTAGCATTTTGCTAATTCGAACTAGCATGTCCACATTAAGTGGAACCTGAAGCGGGGTTAAGGATGGCTGGAAGCAGTGCCAGCGGGGCATCAGATGAGGACTTAGAGCGTGGAGCTGCTGTCTCAGGCTAGCCGAGGGCTGTGCTTAAAGGGACCCGATCCCCACCCCGGACAGACAGTTCTCAGGGGTGTCCTGCTTGCAAAGCAGTCCTGTCTTGGAGTGCCCTGAGTGCCCACACTGGGCACATCACAGCACTCGGCCATCAGACCGGCTGCACTTGCCGCAGGCTGCCATCTGGGGAGAGGAGGGAATTGGGGGGCTGCAGGAGAGCTTCCACCCCCAGAAGCCCGCAGAGCCAGCCCAGTCCTCCCCATCGGGGGCTCGTACCCCATTCCTCCCTCACCTCCTTCCACTTACCCTTCCCTAGCCCCCCTTCCTGATGTACAAAATAAAGAAAACGTGTGGTCAAAAATAGAATCTCTCTATATTGAACAAAACTGGGGGAGACTGGGAAAAGGAGGTGGGAGAGGGGAAGAGAGAGGGTGGGAGAGGGGAGGGCAACTACAATGATGCGGGGTTTGGAACAGGTCCCATATGAAGAGAGGCTAAAGAGACTGGGACTTTTCAGCTTAGAAAAGAGGAGATGGAGGGGGGATATGATAGAGGTCTATAAAAGTATGAGTGGAGTGGAGAGGGTGCATAAAGAAAAGTTCTCCATTAGTTCCCATAATAGAAGGACTAGAGGACACCAAAGGAAAGGAATGGGTAGCAGGCTTCAAACCAGTAACAGAAAGTTGTTCTTCACAAAGCAAAGAGTCAACCTGTGGAACTCCTTGCTGCAGGAGGCTGTGAAGGCTACAACTAGAACAGAGTTTAAAG